ATCAAACAGCGTGCAGTGACGGACGGAGTAAAATGTCGGCAGTGTGGCAATATTTTACTCCGTCCGTCAACGCACTCGCATTTGCGACTAAAAATAGTTTTGTGCAGGCAAAATAAATCATTCAGCACGCTGTGTGAGTACAGATTTCAACCAGCAGCAGAAACAAAACGGTGAATCCCACCGGTTGTGGGTTGAACTGGGGTCACAGACACGGACAGGAATACGTATTACTGTCAAATACGGCGGCGCATTATAACGGCTTACCGGCGATGGAGAAGTCCGGCTCCAGGTCAATTACTTGTTTTCATGACTGCCCAAAAGTACCTGAACAGCCGAGCCATGGCGGCACACAGTATGTGGCGTATCAGAGGAGAAACAAGCCGTTCACATTTCTCTCTTTGTGTCCACAAACCTCACCGCACTTTAGGGACTGTTCTTTACTTATGAAGGGACTTGTCAGGGGAGGAGGGTGGCTGGTTGATTTTTATTTAATTTATTTATTTTATTTTGATCCACCATATGTTAATCACTAATTGATGCTGTTTATGAAGTATGAATAAGTCAATAAGTAATTTATTCCATTGAAATATCATTGATGTATTATAGAAAAGTGATTTATCTTTTTATGAATGACAAAAGGCACATCTGCCTCATTTTTGCTGTGGTATCATGATACTACTCAGAACCGTGATACTTTCACTGGTATCATACCGTGGGTCCCAATTTTGGTACCGTGACAACACTAATCTGGAGGAGGTTCATCTGCAAAAACTAATGAAGAACTGAAAAACGGCATTCGGTATTTGGTACTCGGTATTCAGCCAAGCGCTTCGGCCACAAATTTTCGTTTCGGTGCATCCCTACTCCTATTGGAATTAACGTTATCTGTGATAGTATGACATAAAAATCTTCATAAAAACGTCATAGTATAGTATGACATAAAAATCTTCATAAAAATGGCATATTATGGTATGACATACAAATCTTCATAAAAACGTCATAGTATAGCATGACATAAAAATCTTCATAAAAACGTCATAGTATAGTATGTCATATAAATCTTCATAAAAATGTCATGGTATAGCATGACATAAAAATTTTCATAAAAACGTCATAGTATAGTATGTCATAAAAATCTTCATAAAAACGTCATAGTATAGCATGACATAAAAATCTTCATAAAAACGTCATAGTATAGCATGACATAAAAATCTTCATAAAAACGTCATAGTATAGTATGTCGTAAAAATCTTCATAAAAATGTCATAGTATAGTATGACATAAAAATCTTCATAAAAACGTCATAGTATAGTATGTCATAAATCTTCATAAAAATGTCATGTTATAGTATGACATAAAAATCTTCATAAAAACGTCGTAGTATAGTATGACATAAAAATCTTCATAAAAACGTCATAGTATAGTATGACATAAAAATCTTCATAAAAACGTCATAGTATAGTATGTCATATAAATCTTCATAAAAACGTCATAGTATAGTATGACATAAAAATCTTCATAAAAACGTAGTATAGTATGACATAAAAATCTTCATAAAAACGTCATAGTATAGCATGACATAAAAATCTTCATAAAAACGTCATAGTATAGTATGTCGTAAAAATCTTCATAAAAATGTCATAGTATAGTATGTCATACAAATCTTCATAAAAACGTCATAGTATAGTATGTCATAAATCTTCATAAAAATGTCATGTTATAGTATGACATAAAAATCTTCATAAAAACGTCGTAGTATAGTATGACATAAAAATCTTCATAAAAACGTCATAGTATAGTATGACATAAAAATCTTCATAAAAACGTCATAGTATAGTATGTCATATAAATCTTCATAAAAACGTCATAGTATAGTATGACATAAAAATCTTCATAAAAACGTAGTATAGTATGACATAAAAATCTTCATAAAAACGTCATAGTATAGCATGACATAAAAATCTTCATAAAAACGTCATAGTATAGTATGTCGTAAAAATCTTCATAAAAATGTCATAGTATAGTATGTCATACAAATCTTCATAAAAACGTCATAGTATAGTATGACATAAAAATCTTCATAAAAACGTCGTAGTATAGTATGACATAAAAATCTTCATAAAAACGTCATAGTATAGTATGTCATAAAAATCTTCATAAAAACGTCATAGTATAGTATGTCATAAAAATCTTCATAAAAACGTCATAGTATAGTATGTCATAAAAATCTTCATAAAAACGTCATAGTATAGTATGTCATAAAAATCTTCATAAAAACGTCATAGTATAGTATGACATAAAAATCTTCATAAAAACGTCATAGTATAGTATGTCATAAAAATCTTCATAAAAACGTCATAGTATAGTATGTCATAAAAATCTTCATAAAAATGTCATAGTATAGTATGTCATACAAATCTTCATAAAAACGTCATAGTATAGTATGTCATAAAAATCTTCATAAAAATGTCATAGTATAGTATGACATAAAAATCTTCATAAAAACGTCATAGTATAGTATGTCATAAAAATCTTCATAAAAATGTCATAGTATAGTATGTCATACAAATCTTCATAAAAACGTCATAGTATAGTATGTCATAAAAATCTTCATAAAAATGTCATAGTATAGTATGACATAAAAATCTTCATAAAAACGTCATAGTATAGTATGTCATAAAAATCTTCATAAAAATGTCATAGTATAGTATGACATAAAAATCTTCATAAAAACGTCATAGTATAGTATGTCATAAAAATCTTCATAAAAATGTCATAGTATAGTATGTCATACAAATCTTCATAAAAACGTCATAGTATAGTATGTCATAAAAATCTTCATAAAAACGTCATAGTATAGTATGACATAAAAATCTTCATAAAAACGTCATAGTATAGTATGTCATAAAAATCTTCATAAAAATGTCATAGTATAGTATGACATAAAAATCTTCATAAAAACGTCATAGTATAGTATGTCATAAAAATCTTCATAAAAACGTCATAGTATAGTATGTCATAAAAATCTTCATAAAAATGTCATAGTATAGTATGACATAAAAATCTTCATAAAAACGTCATAGTATAGTATGTCATAAAAATCTTCATAAAAATGTCATAGTATAGTATGTCATACAAATCTTCATAAAAACGTCATAGTATAGTATGTCATAAAAATCTTCATAAAAACGTCATAGTATAGTATGACATAAAAATCTTCATAAAAACGTCATAGTATAGTATGTCATAAAAATCTTCATAAAAATGTCATAGTATAGTATGACATAAAAATCTTCATAAAAACGTCATAGTATAGTATGTCATAAAAATCTTCATAAAAACGTCATATTATAGCATGACATAAAAATCTTCATAAAAATGTCATAGTATAGTATGACATAAAAATCTTCATAAAAATGTCATGGTATATATGTCAAAAATCTTCATAAAAACGTCATAGTATAATATGACATACAAATCTTCATAAAAACGTCAAAGTACAGTATGAAAAAAAAACCTTCAAAAAAATGTCATGGTATAGTATGACATAAAAATCTTCATAAAATCATCAACGTATACTATGACATAAAAACGTCAGTATACTATGACATAAAAATTTTCATAAAAACGTCAGTATGACAAAAACCTTCATAAAAATGTCATGTATAGTATGACATAAAAATCTTCATAAAACGTCACTTTAGTATGACAAAAATCCTCATAAAAATGTCATGGTATGGTATTTCATAAACATCTAAATAAAAACGTCATACAAGTTTGACATACTAATCTACTTAAAAACGTCATAGTATATATGTCATAAAAATCTTCATAACAATCTTCCCTAAAAAAAGTCATAGTACAGTATGACATAAAAATCTTTATTTAAAAAAATGTCATAGTATGTCATAAAAATCTTCATAAAAACGTCATAGTATAGTATGACTAAAATGTGGGGATGATGATGACAGCAGCCCTTAAAACTCACCTGCCCTTGATAAGGATCAAACCTCCGACCTCGGAATTCCCAAGCAGCTCTTTAACAGCCTGAGCTATCCCACCTCACACTTCTGTTGTGTTTCACGGAGCCTTTTACTCTCTCCTCTGGACAGCAGCCTTTAAACTTCACCTACCTCTCTAACAGCCTGAGCTACCGGGCCAGAGATACTTTGTGTTTCTTTGACATTTTAACTTTCTCCTTCAGACATCAGCTTGCAAAACAGACTGACTATTCACCTGAGAATTGAACCCTGATCCTCTGACCTTCAAACCAGTCTTCTATCCCACTGAGTTAATGAACTGGAGACACATGAGCTCTCTTATTTTAAGATTTTCAGTCTCTCTTTTGAATGAAGGCATTCAAAATTCAGCTGTTAAGGTGTCCTATTTGAAGGAATTCATTAGAGACAGTTGTTCAGAAGACAGGCTCTCTGCTTTCAAGACATAGGCTTAAACTCTATCAACCTATCAACATCATCATTATAAGGATGTTTTCAATATTGACTTGTCCTGAGGGGGACATGAATACCAGTATTAAATTTCATAGCAGTCCAGGTAGTACATGGAAATATACAGAGAAAAATCACACACTTCATTTGGACAAAGGCATTCAAAATTCATTGAGCATTAACTGGTATTGACCCCACAACATCAGAATCTCTAATTATACCTCTAACACTGTGAGCTATTGAAGTAGACGGCTATTCTGTCTTTCCTCTGAGTGTTGTAGCTTAAAACACATTCGACTGTTAGGCTGAACACTCAAGACTACAAGGCAGTTTATTTTCTTTCTAGCTACATCTGCCCAGAAAACAAGTACAAATGGAGTCTTTTTGAGTTCAGTGTTTGGACTTGAATGTGCAACTTAAGGAATAACAAAGATCTGTTTATCACATTGAGCTACCTTTCTGCTACACATCCTGTGATCAGTCTCATCCAGAAAAAGTTTACCTTGACCAGAAATCTGGTCTGGACTACATTAACAATAAAAAGACACATAATAAAATACATATTTTATTGCACAGTCAGGAGCTGATAGTTGACTTTTGGAAGAGGCAGGGTCCTTAATGTCAGCAGGTCCTCAGTGTAGAGGGTTGATAGCTTCAAGTACCGTGGTGTCCACATCACTGGCAGCCTGACCTGGGTGTTGCATCCACCTCAGATGCTTCAAGAAACTCCAGCAATATCCAGATACCCCCTCCAATACTGAGGAATTTCTAGTCTTACACCATCAACAGCATCCTGACGGGGATCCTCTATACAGAAAAATCATAATCGTACATATATATTTATTATTGCGCTCTTTTTATAATGTACAAATTAGAGGAACTGAATTATGTGACAAATACATTAACAGAAGAGCACAGAAGATTATTCCAATCCATACTGTGAAGAATTTTCTTTGGAAATATTGACTTTGGGTCTTTGGCAACCCCTCTTTTCTTTGCCTCATAACTTTTTCTTTTCTTTGTTTTTTTTTTAACTAAGGAGTCCCTCATTTAAAAATACTTTGCATGTTTTCAATATTCAACATGAAACACAGCAGCTCATGGTAGAAGAGATGAGAGAAGGTGTTTCTTCAGGTGGTCTTATGATGTTCCTCTTCTTCCCAGTTGTCGTCCATTGACACTTCATATCTAAAAATGGCAAACACAAGCACCTCTCTTAACATGTAACACAACTAAAAGCTAAAGTAAAAATCACACAACAATATATTACTTAGAGCTATAGTATGACATAAAAATCTCCATAAAAAAGTCACTGTATACTGTGACATGAAAATCTTCAGAAAAAGGTCATATTATAGTATGACATAAAATCGTACTAAAAAGTCATAGTATAGTATGACACATAAATCTTCATATAAATCTTGATAAAAAAATGTCATACTATAAAATGTCATACTATAAAATGTCATACTATAGTATGACATGAAAATCTTCATCGAAACAGTCATGGTATAGTATGTCAAAAAGTCTTCATCAAAAAAGTCATAGTACAGTATGATATAAAAATCTTAAAAAGTCATAGTATAATATGAAATTAAAGTCTTCATCAAAAAAGTCATAGTACAGTATGATATAAAAATCTTAAAAAGTCATAGTATAATATGACATTAAAGTCTTCATCAAAAAAGTCATAGTACAGTATGATATAAAAATCTTAAAAAGTCATAGTATAATATGACATTAAAGTCTTCATCAAAAAAGTCATAGTACAGTATGATATAAAAATCTTAAAAAGTCATAGTATAGTATGACATGGCTTAGTGGTAGAGCAGGCGCCCCATGTACAAGGTTGTTGCCGCAGTGGCCCAGGTTCGACTCCAGCCTGTGGCCCTTTGCTGCATGTCATTCCCTCTCTCTCTCCCCCTTTCACACTTGTCTGTCCTATCAATTAAAGGCCAAAATGCCCCCAAAAAATGTCTTTTACAAAAAAAAAAAAAAGTCATAGTATAGTATGACATGAAAATTAATAAAATAAGTCGGTAAAGTGTGACGTGAAAATCTTCATTAAAAAAAGTCATAGTATAGTATGACGTGAAAATCTTGATGAAAAAAAGTCATAGTATAGTATGACATAAAAATCTTAATAAAATAAGTCAGCAAAGTATGACGTGAAACTCTTCATATAAAGACATAATAAAGTGTGGCATAAAAACATTTATAACAATATCACAGTATAGTATAACAAAAATGTAAAAAAAAAAATTTAAAAAAAAATTTGGCATTCAAGACTTTTTCCATCTTTTAAGGGCTGGAGTATTAGACAAGGGTAAAAAACAAACTGCAGGAAATAGCAACACTTCTTCATGTGCATAGACAAAAACTAATTGCCAATGCAATATACACAAAAATATTATGCCAGAATTAATAAATGCCATAAATCTTATAATGATATTAACCAAGCCGCTGTCTACACTGTAGAATTTAAGTAAACACTGGCACGCTACTTGTCTGGCTTAAAAAAAAAAAAGAATTTATGCAAAATAAAATAGCAGGTAATTTGACTCAGCTGCGTGAAATTATCATATCAGCCCTATCCAACCACATCATTTTACAAAACATGCCACACACAAACTGCATCTGTTGCCGAGTGATGTGGGAAACCCTCTGTGGGCTGTGGCACGCCTCTCCACTGAGAACATGAAATCTTCTACTTTGTCCTTTATAGGTGGGAGAAAATATATTCCTATTCTTGGAAAATAAACCATAACAATGTCAACGCACCTCCCAATTATTGTAGAGCTGCTATAATTTGAAATAAATGAATAAAAAGCAAGACACAAGAATAGATCCACCTGCTCTTGTTAAATTAGGATATTTTTAAGCAGTTAAGAGGGCCATCACTGAGTTCAAATACAAGTTTTCCTCTCACTAAGGAACCCTTTCTTTGCACCTTATCTTCATTATCGCATGTCATGAAGATGGTGCCATGCCATTGTTCTGACGGATCATAATTCAAGAGCTCCAATAGTCAGAAAAGATAAATCTAATAAGCTTTTACTGGTAGTGCTAGTGTAGATTTTTGTCCAATCACAACTGATTTCCAACTTTTAAACACTTGATGAATACAGGCTCTGATTAGAGCAACAAACATATCACCATACAGGCTAATGTAAACAATGTATGACAACAAATCATGTGAAGGAAACATCAGTAGCGACTTCCTCACATTGTTTTTACTATTAATGACCTGCTCTGACACATGCAGAGCGGCTTATATGTGTCACAACCTCTTATCTTTCTCTCGAAGCCCACAAATGGGGACCTCCTGCGCTGAGTCAAAATGAGGGGAACACCGGCGTCCACGCAGAGAGCACTGTCTCCAATATGGGATTGGGCTTTGCGGCACAAAGCCAGACAGAGTTATTCATGACATGAGCCCGGCTAGAAAGTAGGCCACCCAAAACAACAAGAGACATCCAGGTAGTTGAGAGGAGACTGCAAATCCCCTGGATCCATTATTGAAGGCATTCTCTGACAGGGCAGAGAGCATCCTAATTGTCACTTACTGAATCAAGTCTTTATCGCTGTGTGCATTTATAGTACTCAACCATACCCAACTAAATTGCCTTAGCTGTAAGTATATCCCTGGTGGGTATAATTATGAGGATTACCCTGAGCAGCTTTTTCTCTAAATGGAAGACATGTTGCTTGTTGTGGCTGGATGTTGGCATTTGGCTTGTCAATGGGATGTAAAATTCAAAAGCGACCGTTTGATTCCTGATGAGGACGTTAATAAATCATTACCGCGGCTATAAATAGAGAGTTGCCAAGCAGTTGTGAAAATGACTTCATGTATTTATTTATGTTAAAGCAACAAGAATTAATTATAAATGTTCTGTGACGAGCTAAACATTCGAGTGGTGGGTGAGAGGGGCTACGAATTTGGGTCAAGCTCATCGAGAGGCACAATGAAAAACCCCGTCTCTGTGATTAGAGGCAGTAAGAAAAAGGATTTGGTTTGGTGTGTTCATGTGTGTGCGTTTGTGTGTATGTGTAGCTGCATTAGAGGGAGTGAAAGCCTACATATCTACCCGTTTTTGTGTGTGTGTGTGTGTTTGCCTGTGTGCGATGAGTGTGAGTAAGCACCTAATACTCATTGTGCGCCTGCTCTCAAATCAACTCTCCTGCATGGTCAATAAATCAGTTCTGATAGGGTCAGCATTGCAGCGTCTAAGGTATCAGAATCTCATTAAAAGCTTATTCCAGCCGTGTTTAGTTTCTTGCACCAAACTCTGTAGTGTTGCTATGGATACCAGACAGGTTACCAACAACCAAACATGGAAACGCAGCACAGGGCGGAGATTATCTGGCGATTATATTTGACGCCACGTGTACTCTTCACAACACTTTGATCGGTTGCCCCGATATCTAATCACAAACGCTGCAAACTCACAGCTCAGAAAGCGCAACATTCCCGTCCTCCCCCAGCCTGGAGTGACACAGAACAGAGTGCACCGAGAGCATTGTGATATTCATACAGTTATTAATGCATGGTGCGCCAGCCAGATCACTGCCTCTGATGCTGCTGCACACAGAAACAGGAGGGGATGGAGAGAGAGAGGGAGGCAGTTGAGTGTATTGGCATGTTGATGATATCAGGCGCCTACCTGAATGATTGGTGGAGATTGGAAGACAAAGACATGACTGGCATGTAAATGAGTCGATCTGGTATGAAAGAAATTACCATTAGTCGTGCTATTTGCCAAGAAAAACTGTATGCAAATGGTGACATTTCTTCCTCTCACTGAATCAGTGAGCGTTTCGCTGCTCTGCGGATACACTGGTTGCTAATGTGTTTACAATTGTATCCCCTCCCCATTCACATCACCAGTAGCTGGCAGCATATAAGTGACATCTGATGCTTTCAAGTGCAGTAGATTAGTGAGGCGGCTTTGGTGATCTGCTCTTGAAACAATAATGCCCCCTCTCAAAGTGATTCTTTCTCCAAGACCCTTAAATGAAACAAGAGGATCTTGCGTGTCTGCTGAATTACTGCCTTCACTACCTCTTAGTGAAATCACCTCCCTTTTTTAATGAAGTTACTATAGAAAATTCATGTTAACCTGAATTGTAGAGTGATCCGGGTTACATAAGCTTGTAATTACCACACTGTGGTAGGCACAATGTGAAAGGAGTTATGTAACCTCTAAAAGGAATGTTATGGTGATAGCATTTAAGTGAGCATACCTGTGCAGGGCTCACATGAATGGAGGTCTTGTGAATGATCTTGCCACTTAAAGCAGTGAGTGCCTTTCACAGGCTGCACACCACTGTGTGCAGAGCTGCAGGAAAACAAATGTAGACCCGCTGTATACTGCAGTGTTCTTAGTTCATGCTCTACTCTAAGAGGAATCTAAATTAAAATGCGCTCGGCTTCAGGAATGGTTAGTGGAGGAAGAGGCAGCTCAGCGGCAGTAGATTGGTCTGATGAATGCTTGAGTGGTGAGATAAAAGCTGATATGGGAGGAAAGGAAAGGTGAGTACAACATGTCATTGACAGTGTAGTGTATCAATCTAGTCACGGGTTCAGGTGGACGGACTGGTAGAAAGGAGGCCATGTGAGGACATTTTGATAAAGTCATGGTGACGCTTCTGCTATTGTCATTAATACGCTTGAACCGTCTTCGACTTGACTGAGTAGCTGCAGGTCAGGCTTTAATAAATGCTGCTGGATTGTTACCGCACGCATGACTGCTCCTTTCCCCACAGCTACACATAGCAAATATCCACACCACCTACAGATCTGATAATAATGTTGGATTATAGGAAAAAAGGATGTTGTCATTGAACAGAATAATCAGTTATTATCGGGAGGTTCTGTAATATTATTAGTCAAACAAACACATCCTCCTTTTGTCAGGAGATTTCTTTACACTCCAGGATTGAAAAAATGGACAACGGCCAATGAACTTTTTTCGCTGGATGCTCATATTCTGTTATCAGGCAATGGTTATTATTAGGTTTTGCCTCATCACTGTGCTCAACAGTGTGACTGTTCTGTAATTGGCCACAGATGTTAAGCCATCCTAGCTGTCTTGTCTCTCATTTTTCTTGATAAGGGTTTATAATGCTACTCCTGACTTATTTGTCTGCCTCATAGGGCTGCCAAATCACATAGAAAGAAATTG